AGATATTAATATGAAAATAAAGATGCAGGCTTTCTCACTGACAGGACATTTCTGTAAAGTGTCAGTAATCATGGTTTTGAGAACAACAAATAAAATTGTAGAAATTCTACAAAGACTTTTTAATAAAAAGACAACTGATCAGAATCTACAGTAGAACCACATTGTCCAGGAAAGCGTGACATTTAGTGTTTTATCAATAAAAATGTAATCAGAAATGGTTGAAATGCAGCTGAAGAAGCTTTATCAGATAAAATAAAGCAAGAAAAAAAATCACAATTAAGAAAATTTTGTGCGCATAGGAAAATGAAGAAATGCCAGGGTGGCAATAAACTTTTTTTAAATCGTGTTCTTACTGAGTCTCCATGTGATGTGAGCCAGTGGGTGAGCGTGTGGGAAGTGTGTGCAGACTGAACCTCTGCTGGGATCTGCTGTAATCTCCACGCAACCCTAGTGTCCAATGACAGCCATCCCAAATGCAGTCAGTGATGGTTACAGACGTCCTTGAAGGACTGCATTGACAAATAAACCAAGAAAGGCAATCAGGAAACAATTTTGGTAGCTTAACATTTTTTCAGTAAAATATAAGCCACCCCTAATATACTAAATGTTTTCTCAGTAATAGGTAAATTTAAATAAATAGTAACTATAAGGACAAACGACTTGACTCCACATTTCTGTTCAATTGTTGTCATAATACTACATGTGTATTTGAAATTTATAGGTACCTCTATTGTCTAAATGTTTCACAAAGAATATACATTAATCATAAAATAAAGACTTATTTTAAATTGAAAATTAAAGCAGGGGTAATATTGTATGAATTGTTTTTCTCTGGTTTTTAAACCTTTTTTTTAAGGGGATGGGATTTGAACTCAGGGCTTCACACTGGCAAAGCAGGTGCTCTACCACTTGAGTCACACCTCCAGTCCATTTTGCTCTGCTTATTTTAGAGATGGGGTCTTGTATCTGTTTTCCCAGGCTGGCCTCAAATCTGGATCCTCCTGATCTCAGCCTCCCAAGTAGCTGGGATTACAGATGTGAGCCACCAGTGTCTGGCTAAAACCAGATAAATTTGGGATGTAGCATTTAATTGCTGTTGACAAATGCAATTACTAAGCCACTGGTCAAGCAGTTATATCAAAAATGGAAAGGAAAGTCCATGAAAGTATCGAGAGGACCACAAAATACTGAGTTTTCAAAGAAAATTGTAGAAATGAACAGAAAGAACAGTGGAGACATGGTTCATTCAGCTCCATGTCTTCAAGAGAAAGTTGCAAGAAGGAATCACAGAACGATTGACTTATAGACATCTAAGAAAGCCTACGGTTGTAGCTGTGTGGAGAGGAGGCGGTGCCAGACAGTCTTTAGGTAAATCTTAGTGGATAATGGAAAGAATGGTCATAAATGCTTTGAGGCTCTGCCGTGTGGCTTTCATTAAGACACCATCTAGGCAAATAGTCACTTTTTTACTGTTGTGCTGGGTGGGAGTACATGTGGTGTTTGCAGAAGTTCTTACAATATATCAAATATGTCATACTTGAATTCACCCCTCCACCATTCTTCTTTACCACCCCCCCATTCCTGGACTAGTTTCAACAGGTCTCATTTTTCCATTTTCATACATGAGTACGTAATATTCCACCATATTCACCCTCCAACCCTCTTTCCTTATATCCTCCCCCTCCCACTGGTGCCAGTCCACCCTATATGAAACTGGAGAACATCATCTTAAGTGAAGTTAGCCAAAAGTCTCATGTTTTCTCCCATCTGTGGAATATAGACCCATTAGAAATACAGAAATATTATGAAAAACAGGTCACGCTAAGGGGAGGTCACACACAGGAGAGAGGGTAAAAAGGAAGTTAAGAAGGTGACTATGATTCATGCGCTCTCTATACAGCAAAGTCATCTTTTCAAAGAATTGTTTTCACTCCCTTGCAGGCCAGATAAATAAAGTGATATTGGATTTCTACCTGGAAAGTCCTCAGAATTTTTCTATAAGCTATGAGAAGTCATTTTAGGAAATATGTTAAAATGTTGCAATCAGGAACAAAATAATCACTCACAATACAGTATTCCTCTTTCTTTTGGAAAAAGAAAGCCAAACCTTTAAAATATGTTGTTGAAAATGTACAAAGGGCAGGGGGTGTGGCTCCAGAGGCAGAGCGCTTGCCTAGCCTGTGCAAGGCCCTAGGTTCAATACCCAGTGCGCAAAGAAAAGACATATGAATTAGCGATGAATTAGTGTGTATTAAAATGTGCATCCCTCGTGACCTTTGTCACCTTGCCCTTCCCCAACACAGTAGAGACAGAATGCATTCTTCCATGTGTCACAAAGTAAGCAAGTTTCACATTCATGTCTTTGTTTACTCGGTGTTTTGGAGCAGTACAGTTGGCCACGAGCAAGGAAAGAAGGAGGACTTACAGATGGTATTATGGGAACATTAGCTAATAAACATAAAGGAACTTAGGAGGATACATTTTTCTGAAATTCCTCCAAACATTTACTTTGCAGAGTCAATTTCATGAAGTGACTGCATTTTAAATTCTTATTCGACTCACCATCTCATCCCTGCATTATCAGCCCAAGTGAGCATAATTTCTCACAAGGCAACTATACCTTGGTGAGCTGGCGTGGTGGTAAACTTCTATAATCCCTGCACTCAGAAGGCCGAGACAGGAGGATTGCAAATTTGAGGCAAGCTTGGGTTACATAGTGTGACTCTGTCTCAAACACACACACAAGCAAACAAAATGTTGCTTGCTTTTCTACTTCACTTGCTCTCTCCTATGATTGGTTTTGCAATTACATATGAGGCTATCTTAGTAAATAAAAATTATTCATGGCTACCTCCCTTCCCACTCAACACTACAGTGGCAACCCATTGTATGCACAGCGAAACCAGAAACTATCAGATGTCCTAGCAGATCCTGAATTTTCTGTCCTACAGTCACCATCAGCCCTCTTTCCACAGTCACAGCTCTGCAGCCCACAGGCATTCTTGCTTCTTGCTCTTCCAAGAGCAGGTTGAGCTCGATCCTCCAAGCTCGGGCCTCAGCCGTGAGCCTCCACTCCAGCCTTAGCCTTTCTCATCATCCAGGGCTTTGCTCAGATGTCACCCACAGATCCTCTAACAGCCCTGCCCCTTGGCTCTACCCACCTTCATATTCTTATAACTTTATTGTGTTTATTCTCTACACATAAATATCTCTGGACATGTATGTCTTTTCTAACTGTTAACTTTCCTCATAGAATATAGTCTAAGCAAGGGAACTTCCTTGTTTGATGTTCTCTCTTTGTTACCCATAGGACGAAAGTTGTTTTGTTTTTGTTCTTGTTTTGTGTGTGTGTGTGTGTGGTACTGGTATTTGAAGTTAAGCCCCTTGAGGTACTCCACCAACCCTTTTTTGTGATTTTTTTTTTTTTTTTGAGATAGGGCCTCATGAACCATTTTGCCCAAACTGGCTTAGAACTATGATCCTCCTGATCTCTGCCCCAAAAGTTTTTATAGAATGAATTAATTAAACATGAACAAATGTTCTGGGCACAGGGGCTCACGCCTGTAATCCTAGCTCCTCACGTCTATAATCCTAGCTCCTCACGTCTGTGATCCTAGCTTCTCACGTCTATGATCCTAGCTTCTCACGCCTGTGATCCTAGCTCCTCACGCCTGTGATCCTAGCTTCTCACGTCTGTAATCCTAGCTCCTCACGTCTGTGATCCTAGCTTCTCACGTCTGTGATCCTAGCTCCTCACGCCTGTAATCCTAGCTCCTCACGTCTGTAATCCTAGCTTCTCACGTCTGTAATCCTAGCTCCTCACGCCTGTGATCCTAGCTTCTCACGTCTGTAATCCTAGCTCCTCACGTCTGTGATCCTAGCTTCTCACGTCTGTGATACTAGCTTCTCACGCCTGTAATCCTAGCTCCTCACGCCTGTAATCCTAGCTTCTCACGTCTGTGATCCTAGCTTCTCACGTCTGTAATCCTAGCTCCTCACGTCTGTGATCCTAGCTTCTCACGTCTGTGATCCTAGCTCCTCACGCCTGTAATCCTAGCTCCTCACGTCTGTAATCCTAGCTTCTCACGTCTGTAATCCTAGCTCCTCACGTCTGTGATCCTAGCTTCTCACGTCTGTGATCCTAGCTTCTCACGCCTGTAATCCTAGCTCCTCACGCCTGTGATCCTAGCTTCTCACGTCTGTAATCCTAGCTCCTCATGTCTGTAATCCTAGCTTCTCACACCTGTGATCCTAGCTACTGAAGAGGCAGAGGTCAGGAGGATTGTGGTTCAGGGCAAATAGTTCTGTGAGAACTATCTTAAAAAAAAAAAATCACCAAAAAAAAAAAAAGGGTTCAAGATGTAGGCCCTGAGTTCAAACCCCAGTACTGCAGAAAAATGAAAAAATGGGTACATATAATACATATGCTTAAACGTGTACATTTTAGGAAGATTCCCACCGGGCAAAAGTAATAGTTCTTTTATTATCTAGACAGATAATCGGATCTTGATGAGAATGCATGACATTTACAAATTTTATTCCCTGCCTGATTTTCCTGTGACCCTTTTGAAATAGCTTTCAAGATTGGCAATTTCAAAATATCATGTGTTTGAGAAAATTCTGAGAAATTTAAAACATATCACCTTAAAATATACCTTCATCGACTCTCTTGGGAGAGTTGTGTTTGCTTGGCTATCTCAAATAGTCAAAGAGGTTTTTTTCCTTGTGTTTTGTAGCAGACATTTAAAATTAGGTAAATGCTTCACTTGTGTCACCAGAGACATGGTCACATCTTCAATTATCACTCTTGAATCTCAGGTGACAAAGGTCGCTGTGCACACGGTGGCGGAGTTCACAGACCCATTGTTAGCAAGGGGCTGTTTCAGCCTCTTATCTGGATGTCTTCAGAATTTTATCGGAGGAGAGTAACGTGAACAATCAGCATGCCTATGGTGACTTATTTTCTCATTTCCCTTGTTTATTCTCATGCTTTCTTTCAGAAATTGAGAAATTTCAAGGTCCCGATGGAAAAAAGGAAGATGAAGAAAAGAAATATCTTGATGTCATCAGCAACAAGAACATAAAGCTCTCAGAAAGAGTTTTGATTCCTGTCAAACAGTATCCCAAGGTACAGAACTAAGCTTTGTTCTCCTTAAGAAAAAGACAAAAATAAGACTTGGTATCGTACTCATTGCCCCTTACAAAATAAATATTTAAAGCTTCATTTTATAAATATATGCAAACGCATGATACTGACAGAGGAAAGAAAGGTCTTTGAAAGAACAAAGATGAAGGTAATTTTCAAATGAAGACTACAGAATTTTGTTCTGTGAATGTGGGGAGCTTATTTGAATATTTTAATCATTCATTTAGCATACAAATGACTTATCGATTTGTCCAACTATCACACCAACTTGATTATGTTTTGGTGTAGGTTAAAATCTATGCTCCTTTTATAAAGGGGAATAGAATTCGGGCTACCAGATCTATAACATTAGCTAACCAGCAGGAATTATTTTATCCAGAAAGCAACATAGTCTACTAGACTCAGTTTATAAACTGTAGTCTTCCATATTCAAAATTCATTTAGGAGAATAATTGTGACATTCATCCTAGTGTAACAGCACCTCTTTGAAAACTATTTTCCTTGTCATAGATGGTTGATTTTATGACATAGCATTCAATGGCATGGTTTCATTGTTCTATTAATACATCTCAAAGGGTGAAAAGTTTTTTTTTTTCAAATAAATGAAAGAAGCTGAAAATAGAAACTCAACAACTCAAAGCTGATAATTTCTTTCTGAAGAGTGAACCTGAAGCCAAGACCATGTAATTATCTTAACAATAATGATTATAGGGATAAGTGCTATAGTTTACCAATTGTAAATATAATTAAGTAGAATATTTTGTTTACAATTATTTCAAATGGGGAGCAAAAAAACCTATTATAACCCAGCAAACCATAAAATGTAACTTTCAGATGAGTTTTTGTTGGGACAGGCAGATTTTTGTTTTGTTTTGTTTTGAGCTAGCTGTAATCTATTAGGAGAAAAGTGCTTTAGTGTATCTGTGATTGAACTAAACCTCATTTGATTGCGCTGTAGTGCTGTTTTATGAATATTAAATTAGGAAGCCATGTAAGTGTACATGAAAATTTTGTGTCATGCTGAAGTATGATGAATAATTGCTGCGGTGTTAAGAAAATGGGTCGTTTCTCAGAAACTTGTTTCATTAACCAATTATAGTCTGAAACAGAAGTTTCTTTTCCTACATATGATATAACTTGATGCTGTTTCCTAGAGTAAAGTTTGTTTCTTTTCTGGATATAGGAAAGTCAATGCCTGATACCTACATCTAAATGAAACATGGTCTCTGACCTAATGAGGTTGGCATCTTCTGTCGGTCCTGTGATGTCATGATCTTCAAGTTCCAGTCCGAGGGTTTTATGCTCAGTATTACAGGAGTCTGTGTCTGATAATTGATGATCACTACCAAAGTGAGAATTTTGCATAGAACCAAAGTTTTGTGTGAAGCCTAGATTCATAATTTGTAAGAAGATGAAACAACAAAACCATCTGTTTTTGTTGTAATGAAGTAGAGATCACAGGAAACTTGCTTTTACTTACAATTTTTAGAACCCTAGAATGCTTAATCTGTGTCCATTCCTGTAAACCAGAGAATACATAAAACTTCCATGTTGCGGATGAGGTTCCTGGAGGGTGATGCTACAGGGGAGATTGCTAGCGCAGTCCTCGTTTTAGATTCTTTGTTTCCTGTGAACCGTACACGTTTTGCTCCACTGGCATGCCTGCACCTTTGCAGAACTTTTCATGCAAATTGGAGGATGTGAAAGACGATTGCTCCTAGTGACTAATAGTTTGTGAGTTTTCTCAAATAGTAATTCATGCGTGAGAAAACTGGCCATTTCTTTAACTGAGGCATAGCCTGCCAGGCATTTTGTTTTTGAAGGAATGTCCAACTCCTCTAATTACCATACTTAGAGAACTTGAGAGCTTTCTCACAGAAAGAGAAGGGACACTGAGAAACACACCATCTCTCTGACCCATCCTATTTAATTGCCGTCAGGTTGATCTACTTTGTTCCTATAATACAACAGCAAATTTATATTTCAAAAACGAGCCATATTTTATGATGTGTCATAATCTCTGGAAAACAAACCACACTTCATTGCAAAAGTAGTTCCCCTCTCCTGTGGCCCTAGGACATCACTGAGGATTTGGACTGTGTCAGTCAACGTGACTGACGTGCATCCCGAGCGGTACGTGTGTGGGGTGCTGAGGTTCTGAGTCATTGTATGGAGTACAACTGTGGTTATGGATTTAAAGTTTGACTTTCATAGAAGAAAGTGATTTATCCCTCAAGGCTGTGCTCTGCAGAAAGACCTGCTTTATATGATGTCCTCTCAGAACCATCGCTGCCCCTGGATACCTACTGTCTGTTTGAACCAGTAATTAATGTGTTGATGACAGTCCGTTCAAACAACCATGGTAGTGCTTGGGGAAGTGACCTTATCATGACTCACTCTGTGACCTTTTCAGATAGATTTTGTTTCAATTAGTCTCCAACTTCAAGTTGATTTGCTGACTTACTTGAATACTATAAGGACTTGAAGGAACTTTCTGATTTTAAGTTATAGAAACTAAGAAAGCTGTTGAAGTGTTTTAATAATGAATTATCCAGCTTTGTTGTTTTACATTTAATGATTTAATTTGGGGAAAGGATGTCATATTATTAAATTATTTTAATGGAGGTTTTAAAACATTTTGATAGTGAAATTAATGGAGGTTTATTTGGGATTCTTGATAAATCAGTATATATGAGCTCCTTTTGCCATGAAAATGGGTCACAATGTAAGATGATGAACCTGTTATTTTCATTTTCTGTAGTGACTCTTCACTATCTGTATTTCCAACAGCATCACACACAATAAGATGTCTTTTGTAAAGATTCATAGAGAAATAGACGTTGCACACCTGTTTGTGTCTACAGAGGTTTGAGAAGGGCACAGTTATTTCTTGATGGTTGGAGCCTCAAGATGCAACAATGTGCTGGCATGCTCCCCTGTGTTCCTAAGAGACTCCTGTGGGAAACCTTGCAAACCATGCCCAGTCTTAAGCTTAGCTCTTCCTCCCTGAGCCACACATCCTACAGGTCATGGTCCAATGCAGATATTTTCCAAATTTAGCATCTCCAACTGGAATGCATTTTACAGTCAGAATCACTTTGCAGTCTTGGTCAAGTAAGCAGTCATCATTGCTCATTGCAGCTCCCATTCATGTCAACATGGTCCTGGCTGCTTATTGTGAGATTGCTGGAGGTTGGGATCCATATGATCCATATGTTTTGAGTTTAGTTGCAGTTTGAAATGTCTGCATCATGATTTAGTGTTGACATGCAAACTTATCATTCATACAAATAAGAAGAAAACTGTAGTTTGAAGATAAGTTTTATCCTTGAAGGAATGAGAAAAGTTCTGTATGTTCTTGTACTGGAACAAAAAAGTACCTGATCAGACTGAAAAGGCAGAGATACATAAGTGGCCAGAGCTGTGCTGTGACTTTTTTTACCTCTGCACACACAAGGAATGCCCATTGCAAGTCGGAAAGTGGGACAGCATTGCAGAGCCTAGGAAGCGCTGCCTGCACAGGAGTGAGTCAACTTGTTTCTTGACACTGCACCAATTCGCTCACCTGAGCAATTCAACCTCTCAGTGCCTTTTAAAAATATCTTTTTGATGTGCTTTCAGAATCCTCTGAAACACATCACACCTTTTCTTCGATTTAATTTGCCCTAAGGCCCACTTTCATTTCTCAATTTGAGTTACTGCCAACTTTTTAAAGCGGTATACTGCCAGCAGTGTAAATCTGCCCCAAATTTAGCCCATTTTAAGATCAAACACAGCAAATTCCCCTCTGCTTCTTTTCAAATCAATTCCTTATGTAGATGGATGTGGAAAATTACAGTTCCAGAGTGTGTTCAGAAACATCTCGCTTTGTTGAGTCCCAGAACAAGGGCTGTCCCCTGCACTGGTGGGAGCTGTCTCCTCTGCAACAGTGACCTCCACATCCACTCAGAGATCCACTTCCAGATCCACTTCCATCTTTATATTCCAGAAGATGAAACACTCAGATTCAAGTCCATAACAAGTACTGTTTCTCTAGCTTTCTATATAATTATCAGATCACTTGTGAATAGTTAATGGGCATCTGGAACTGCTGACTGTGACAACTGTGACCATATCCTCAAGCCAAACACAACCACTTGCTCTTAGAAACACCTGTCCAATTTTTTCTAAGCAGTGTGATCTAGAAGTCACTCTCTTACACTTCAAACCCATTTTATGTTTACTAGACTGCGAGTACTGTACAGTACAGCTTTTTATTTTTGTAAGGTGAATGGAAGGGGATTTGACAGGTTTTGTGATTTAAATTTCATTCATATCAGTTGCTTTGTTTCTGACCTGTGAATTTAAATCTCAACTGGGCTGATGCCAGGACAGTCAGACTCAGATTTCCTGCGACTAAGAAAAGGTTTCACAATGCTCCTCTCTTTCTCCCTCCCTCTGGTAACAGTTTCAGAGGTTTCATCATAGTCATTTGGCCCTGTTTTAGGGGGACTGTGCTGAGATGCTGGAGTATTTGTTAGAACAAACCCTTCACTTAATGATTGACATGCACACACATTTGTAAGATAAGCAGATGAGTAGTTAGATCTAAAAAGGGAGGCATGTTTTCAATTGCAGCCTTTTAATTTGATTTAGCTATTATTAATATCATTTTCTAAAAATAAAGATAATTTTTAAAACATGGGTTAATTGAAAATATTTAAAATAGAAAAATCAGTTCTACATAGACTTTTTTTCTAGGACAGAGAACTAAATAATAAACACTAAGGATCATTAAGTGTTTTCTACATGTCAGATATCTTGTAGTTTTTACATGAATCATTTATTTTAATTGTCACCAAAAATTCTAACACTCTCCTTCCCATTTTGTAGACCAGAAAGTCTCAGAAGAGTTTCCCTTCTAGCTCAGAAGAGATGGCAATTCAGAAGTCATGTACAACCACTCAGACTCATAGCCTATCCTCCATAACTCATTCCATCTC